GCGTGTGTGTGAAGGGGAACTCGAGGCAGTGCGTTGGGGAGGGCGATGGCTGTGCCGAATCCTGGCTGTGCCGCGTCCTGGCTGTGCCGGCGGGTACCCGGAGCTATGTGGGGTTTGGACAGCGTAAAGAAAGGTGACCTCCTGACCTGCTCTGCTCTGTGAGCCAGGCAGGAGAGGAAGTTGGGGTGTATGTTTAATGAAACACTTTCCTCAAACCCCCCAGTTTAGGTCTGCGTTCACACAGCCCTCGGCTGGGCCACCTTCCTACCTTCCAAAAGCCTGGAGCAGGAAGTCACAGGCCTGTGGGCGGGGCCCACGTGTCCCCCCCAGCGACTCCCCCCATCCGCGTGGTGTCCCCGGGAGTCCTCTGTGGCTCCACCTGGCTGGCTGACCGGCCGGCAGCGCAGGTCTCCCGCTCCCTCCGACCCCTCCCCCCTCCGTGCAGGTCCCGTTGTGGGGTCCGGCGTCTGCCCGCACCCTTCCTTCGCCCTTTGCTGTCGCTGCCGTCGTTCGTCCGTGCGAGGGGCGTGATCCCGTCACAAGCCCACGGTTCGAAAGCTGCTGGGCTTGTGTGCCAGCAGCGGGGCGGGGGGGGGGGGGCGGGGGCGCTGTGTGGGAGCTGCAGCCACACCGGGACACAGATCGAAGGCTGCTCTTCACGGCCCACAAACCTCACCCTGGCCTCTGCTCACAGAGGTCGCACACGAGCAGAAATCCACCCCAGTGTGCCGGGCAGCGGGGCACCCGGCACCCGCCGAGATGCCACTGCGTCAGAAAGCTCGGACGTCTGGCCCCTCTCTCCTGGGACAGCTCTGACTGAGAGCCACAGGCTGGGTAGCGAGGACGGTGGGGAGGGCCTCGCCGGGGGGGCGGGGGGTGGTCGCCACAGAGCGGCAGAGACAGAGCCGGACTGGAGGCCTCGGGGTAGGCTGGCTGGGAGTGGGCTTCTCCAGTTAACTGGAAAAAAATAAGGCCAGAGATAGTAACGTGTGCCACAGCGCTCTCCCTCCCCCTCCCCCTCCCCCGCTCTCTCTCTCTCTCTCACACACACACACACACACACACATACACACACACTCCTAGACCAGGTGCCCCCCCTTCCAGAACACCCCCTTCCTGGCGGTGCTGTCCCAGCCCCTCTGGGACTTGGGTGCGAGACCTCTGGGTGTAGCTGTAGGTGCCGCTGTGCGCAGGGCCCCAGAGAAGCCGGGGGTCCTCTCAGGCTCTTCACCCTCAAAACAGGCCTTGGCTCCTCCCCCTGCTGCCCACCACCCTGGCCCAGGCCTGGGCAGTCATCACTGCCCACTCACTGGCCTCCTGCCCTCGCCTTTGCCCCTAAGTGAGCTCTCCACAGAGCTGCCCCTGTGAGCTTCTAGGCACGGGTGCCTGGGCACGCGCTGCCCTGGAGCCCCACCCGCCAGTCCCCAGGCCTGCCCCTTCCCTCCGCTGCGGCCCGCACTGCCCTCGCCACGCTTTACTCGCGGTCGTCCCGCCGGACGGTCCCCTCTCTCCCCGAGGTGCGGTCTGCGGTGGGGCCTCTGTCCTCCTCGGGCCCGTGTCCTGGCTCTCGCTGGGCCCGGTGGTACCCACTGAAACGCCCCTTTCCCTGAGCCTCAGTTTTCTCAGCGGTCGGGGGCGGGGGGATGCGTGCTGAGCGCTGCACCCCTTGAGGGCTCGTGAGGATGAAATGAGACCCCTCGGGCTGTGACGTCGGAAATCCCCGGGGAGCCTCATCAGAGCTGCTGCCACCTAAGGGTGCTAATTTCACGAATGCCTGCTTGTAATCTCAGCGCACTTTTGAGGTCCTGTTGTCAGCTCCAGCAGCCCCTCCCCAGGCGAGAAGCCTGGGGTGGGGGTCTATCGCAGACGCACCAGCGATGCCTCATGCTCAGTGAAAACATCTCAGGGAGATTTGTAATTTTATTTTTTTCTATGCGTGCAGAATAACATAAATCAAAGGGAGCAAGAGTCCACCTTGTGTTTTGACTACTTTGACCCTCTTCAACCCCTGCCAATTTTTATCTCATTTTTGTTTAACTTTATACATCAGAGTTTAATTTGAGAGCTGGTGGGGAAGACAGTGATGCATAGGTTCCATCAGGCACGGCTGGAATTGCCCCGTCCCCCGAGGCTCCGGACCAGAGGGAGGGTCCCTTCCCGGCCCAGGGTGGACGAGGACTCCCGCTCGGCCCCTCGGGCCCAGCCCCCGCACCCGGCGGGCTCGTTGCTGCCCCCCCCTCCCCGCGGTTGGACCGACCAGGCCTGAGAGCTCAGGGGCCGCGTCCATCAGGGCGCCCCCTCCCCAGCACAGCCAGCCGCCAGCACCAGGCCTCGGCCGCAGGCAGCCAGCGTCACGTTGGGAACCGGGAAAGGAGTCGTGTTAGCGTTGGTTCTCCTCCTCTGGACGCTGCCACCTGCTCTGGGGACGTGCGCCCGGTCAGCGGCACCGTCCGGCCAGAGGACGCTGCCCCGCTCCTCCGGGCGTTGGGGGCGGCCCGACCAGGGCTGCCCTGGGAATAAAGGGACGAGCTGCTTTCGCTTCTCCACTGCCGTCCGCGTCCCCCGGCCTCACTGGTTTGGGAGAGGACACAACGACTATCGGTGCACGAACTGGGTCGCTGGTGTAGGAACCGGCCCCCTGCTGCCACCCCGGAAACTCTGGACGCAGTAGCTGATGGGCCCTGGGGCCAGAGGGGGCCCCGCAGTCTCCTCGTGCGGCGCCGGTCGCCACGTCAGGGTTCGCCCGGGCAGCCTGGCCGGGGGCTGCACAGCCTCCGCCGGCCCTCCAGGGCCATGTCCCTGCGGCCGTGACCCACGGGTTGGCCTTTTTTAAATGTGCATTTCCTTCACGGCACCTACCACAGTCTGAAATGACAGACTTGCCGATCACAGGCGGTCTCCCCACTGGACCCTAAGGACACTGACTCGGTCGGTAGTTAATTCACGAGAAAAGTCCGCTCGCTCGCCTGCACCCCTGGGCTCGGGCACGGGGCCTCCCCTCTGGGAAGTGCTCAATGAGTCTCTGTGGCTGAATGAGTCCGACAGCAGCAGGGCGGGGCCGGGCCGGCGGGGTCAGCGGGGGGCGTGGCTGCGGTGCGTCAGCAGCAGGGCAGGGGTGAGGGCGAGGGGCTAAATGCCCGGGCACGGACGTCACGCCACGCGGACCCTGACCCACCTCCCAGGCCAGCGTGGGGCGAGGAGGCACCGCAGCCGCCGGGCGGGGCCTGGGGACGGGGCCGGGTGGCAGACGTCTCCGGCAGACCCTGCCCTGGGCCCTCACGGTCCACACTTACAGCTACTGAGCACCTGGGGCGCGGCCGGTCTGAACTGGGGGTGCTGGGTGAGTCAACCACACCCCGGCTCCCAAAGGTTCAGGTGGATAAAGAATGCAGAGTATGTCATTAATCACCTTTCTATTGATTACCTGTTGAAATGATAATTTTTGGATATAACTCGTTAAATATTAGATCTAATTTCATCTTTTTTTTTCTTTTAAAAATCGTGGCTACCATAAGATTCAGACTTGCCCGCATGGCCGTGCTGATCCTAACACGGTCCTGGGGGGCGGTCCTCAGAGGGCTCGCTGCCCGGAGCCCCCGCAGGGCACTCCCCACGGGCGCGGCCGAGGCCGCGTGTTCGGTGAGGCTCTGTGCCAGGAACTCTGCCGCCGAGTTAGACAGAGGGTTCCACCTTGGACCTCGTCAACTCATTTTTTCTATGTCATCCTGAAATGTGAAAAAATTCTTTACATAACAGTTACTAATGGTAGTGTTCTCTAACATGAAGGAAAAACAGAAACTAACCTAAACATCTAAATAGTAGCACGGTGATGTTAACTCGGCTACACCTGCACGGTGGACTGTCACGCGGCCATCCACAACCGCCTGCCAAGGACTTCACTGCTGTGCCGTGGCGGACGCTGGGCCGCAGCTCGAGGGGGGCCACTCTGAGCCGACCGCCACTTCCAGAGGCCGGCCCTCTGCGGCTCGGGCCCACCACACCGGGCCCTCACGCGGCCCTGCACGGCCGCTGCCGCTGCCGCCGCAGTCGTGGTGGGAGGGTCCGGCACAACGCAGAGGAGGGAGGGCCAGCGGGGGGTGGGGGAGCCTCACTCGCTCATTTCCACGTTGTGCGCATGAAAAACACCAGATTGAGAAGCATGCCACTTGTGGCAATCCGGGGGGGTGTAAATTACCAAAAATGCAGGAAAGAAGTACAAGACATTTGAAATAAAGATTTGTGTCTTTAAAATATCTGTATCAACCTCAGAATAAGTATCTGGTGTGAGGTTTTTGGGAACACATCCCTAGTCTTTGTTGTCTCCTCTTCATGAGGCCTCCTCTCTGCGTTCACCCCGTTGGGGGGTTTCTCATAAATGAGGGTTCGCACCACCAGGGGTTACTCCGGTTAGGAGGGCGTTTTATTAAAGATACATGTTTGCCACGGAATGCTGAATGATATATTTACCTTCCTTCCTTCCCTCCCTCCCTCCTTCCTTCCTTCCCTCCTTCCTTCCTTCTTCCTTCCGTGCATCCGTTACAGTGGGGGACGGGGAAACAAGGAAGGGCTCAGGAGAGAAGAAACGACAAGAGCCCCGGCTGGGCTGCTGCCTGGCTCCCTGGGAAGTGAAAGTCGCAGTGACAGAGGGAGCCGTCGTGGGGCTGCTGTTGGCTCCGTGAGAAGCCAGAGAGGAGAGGGGGCCCTAGAGACAGGGTCGGGGGTGAGCCCGGGACGAGCTGCCGCTGCCCATGGCTCCCAGGCTGCAGGTCTCCTGGGGACCCCGAGAGCTCAGGAGATGCACGCCTGCGGGAGAAGAAGGGGCGTGGCTGTGCTCCCAGGAGGGAGGGGGCCCTTCTGTCTCGCTGTCAGGGCTTTCTGGCCAAGGTCCAGTCCAGCGTGCCCTCAGAGTGGCTGAGATGTGAAGGAGCCTCAGCTGTGGCCTCTGAGGCGGGACCTCAGAGGCGGAGCAGGCTGGGGCACATGGGGGGGAGAGCGGGGCCGGTGGCCTTGCTGCTGTCCCTGAGGGCACAGCCACCAGGCCGTTCACAGGGGTGGGGTGGGAGGGACCCTGTGCCGCCCTGCCCTGCCCTGCCCTGCCCTGCATCACGTCCAGGGGTGAGGCCTGAGCTGGGCTCAGGGCCCCGGGGAGACCACCCAGATAGTCGCCAGCCTTGGTTCCCTTTATTGCCATTCATTGCAGCCACAGGCTCTCTAAAGTGCACGTGTTTGAGTGAAAGTTGTATCCTTGCGAAGTATCAGCTCGTCTCTGAGGTTCGAGGTGAGTGTTAGTGTCACCGAGAGCTCTCACGCCGACTCGTTCCGTTCAGACCAGCCGTGCCCCTCACGTACGTCTGACGGGGGTGAGGTGGGCTGCACCGCACAGCTGCTCCTCACGGCCGAGGGCCTCCGTTGCAGGCACGCAGCCCCCGCAGCCCCCAGAGCCCGAAGCCACAGACCCCGTCCATGCCTCCCGGGAAGGGAGGCCACGCTGGGGGCCGGCGGGCGTTCTGCCGAGTTTCCCTGCAGACGGTTCCCCGGCGCTCTCCCCTGAGCCCGCACTCTCTCTGTTCGACGTGCGGCCCTGACGTGTCCCCCCACAGTCGAGAGGCCGGCGCCGTGGACGCAGACAGACAGACAGACCGGCCTCTGGACCCCCGAGGCCGCTGGGGCCAGGCACTGCAGGGACAGCAGTGAAACGGCGAACCAGGAACTGAGTAAACGTAAGAAAGTCAGGAACACGTGCAGCGCATTGTGAGTGGTTGCCATCCAACTCTCAGCAAACCTGACTGTCGAGGGAGGTGAGTTCCCGAGGCGCCGTCCTGGAGGGGGTGACGCTGTGAGGATGCCAGTGCCACTGCCGTCACGCACACACACACACAGACACCCACACGTGTGCACAGAGCTGTGTGCCGAGGGCGGGACGGAAGTAGGTTTGCCGTCCTGAGTCCGTGGGACCCGGGGTCCGCTCTCGTCGTGTGTGTGGGTTACGGCTCCGCTTTCCCGCGGCTGCATGTCTGCTCCTGCCTCGCCCTGCAGGCACACAGGCACATGCCAGGAAACACTCAACTAGGTCGCACGTGTGCCCGTGTGTCCACGTGTGCCCGTGTGTCCACGTGTGCCCGTGTGTCCACGTGGGCATGGACTGGGTTGGGCCCCCTCAGAGATCCGGGATTTGGATGGAACTCACCCCAGTAGCTGAACAATTACGAGAGAGCAGCGTTCTCAGAACAAAATGACCTTTTCATCAAGTTACAAAACATTAAAGGTTAGAGAATGTTTGAAAGGAAGTTAGTACTTTTAAAACATTGAGGAAACTGCCATCTTCTCAAAGACCCGACCGACACTCGAGGGCAGTGTGGACGCCCGGTGTGTGGCCGTCCCGTGGGGTCCGGCCTCGGCGGGAACCAGACAGGCAGGCGGCCCGCCGTCCGCCCAGCCCTGCGCCGGAGTGAGGCGCCCTTAGCAGGCTGGCTCCTAATTGCGATTTCGAAGTCACGTTTCTGCCTCTGCTCCGCGGTGACGGCGACGGCGACGAGGGCGGATCAATGAGAGTGTCACATTTCCAGGCTTCCACTCTCCGTCCGACCCGGACGGCGCACACCCCAGTCTCTGCTAACGGGAGAGATAGGACCATCGGGGGGGCCTGTCCACTGCGCCCCTCCCCCTAATTAGCTCCCAGAGAGGCCTGGAGGGTGTTCCTGACCGGCCCTGCAGACACCCACACTTCCCCTCCCCCCAGGCACACAGGCCTGTGCCCTGCCCCGCCTTTCCCCGCTCGCCCCTCCCCTCTCCCTGCTCCAGCACCTGCCTGCGTCCTCGGGTGCGTCCAGCCTCACCCCCTTTGTGAGCCTTTGTCTTCAGGGGCTCTGACCCTGCGGCTGGAGGAGAGGTCACCCTGGACTGGACAGCCGTGTGCTGGGTGTGACGCTCTTCGCCGAAGCACCGACACCCGCTGTCTCCGGTGAGCCTCGCCTGTCCCCGCAGCTCGACTCCACGGCGACCTGCCTGAGCACACACGGCTGCTCTGCCCAGCGCGGTCTGAGGCTGAGGACCCCGGCCTGGAGCACAAAGCAGCGGAGGCTGCCAGAGCGTCTCTAACTTCGATCCAGTGTCTTCTTCCAGGGTCCCTGCGCAGGGTTCAAGAGGGGCGAGCCATGCCCTTCGAGGTGGAGACGAGGCCCCAAGGGCAGGGCAGTCAGCTCCAGACGGCGCGGGGAGTCACGGCGTGGTCAGAACCCGCATGCGCCTGCAGCAGCCCCCGTGCGCCCGGCCCTTCCGGGCGGCTGGTGGGCACTGCTCTCCTGAGGGACAGGGACCAGCTGCCGTCCCCGCGCCCAGGGCCTGGCCCCGCGGCAGGGCGGGCGGTCCGCCCTCTGCGTCCTCACCTTCCCCGTCTCCCCGTCTGACGTGCCCCAGATAGGACCGTCCTCGCGGGAGCAGCTTGCGTTTCTGGACATTTGAGATGGCGGTGACTCCTTGACAAATTTCATCGGCAGAGGATGACTCTGGCCCATTTTCAAGCCTCATTTTTCCTGGCCGACAGGTGAGGCCTGAGGAAGAGGAAGGAGGGCTTATGGGCCGCCTCCCCGCCAGGCAGGCCCCCCCCCCCCCCCGCCCGTGGGGCTGCCGCCTGCAGGCCTGCTCTGGGGGTGGGGCGGGGAGCCCGGTCCCCCGGCTCTCACCCAGGGGACTGACCGTCACCAGCCGATTCCCGAGTGCAGGCCAGGCCAGGGCCCCTTCTCTTCGGCCAACGAAACATTCTGGAACACCTTGTGATACGAAAGACTTCTGAGGAATTAATTCCCCTATCTGGCGGCATATTAAGAAGGCGTTGATAGTATCTGTCAGGTGATCAAAAGTCAAAATTCACTCTCGGTCGAATCTGCATCCACTGCCTGCCACTCCTTTTCTGGCCGTCCAGACAGTTCCTTGGGCGCCTGGGCATTGCTCGGAGAGAGCCGCCCCCGCCCCCGCCCCCCACCAGGTGACAGAGCCCGGGGGAGCGGGCTGCAGAGGACAGCGGTGCCCAGAGGGCCCTTGCGCTGCAGCCGGAACTAGCCCGCCGCAGGACCACCCCGCAGACCCTGCGGGGGGCGGGCGGGGGCGGGGCCCGAGCGCTCCAGGGCGGTGGGCGCTGAGACCTGAGTCCGAGTCCAGGAAAGGGGAGACGGAGGCGCGCCCCACGCCCCGAGGAGAAGGGCGGCTGCACCTCCGACGGCTCAGAGCACTTGCAGATAAGCCCACAGGGCCAGGGGGGCCCCGGGGACTGGCGCTGAATGGGGGTGGGGGGGTGCTTAGTAGACAAGAGGCGTCCATGGGTCCCACCCAGTGTCCTGTGCAGACGGCCTCGCTGAGTCCCGAGCTGCGGCAGGAGCCAAGCCAGGAGGCCAGCTCACCAGGTGCCGGTGGACCCCCCTTTCTGGGGAGGCCAGAGGTCAGCCCCTTCCCAGGGCTTTATTTCCTCACCTCTCCGGGCTGGGCGTCCGCAGCCCGACAGCTGCCGCACGCACACCCCTCCGTGCGCGCCTCGGCCCGCCGCTCCTTGAGGGCGGGGCGCTTCCCCCCTCTCTCTCTGCTCCCAGGGGAGGCGCTCCGGCGAGGCTGTTCCAGAGGCCGGGCTCCCACAGCCTGGCCAAGCGTGGCAGCTCAGGCAGGGTGCAGGCCCCGGGGTGCCCCAGCCCAGCCCTAGCTCCCAGCTCCCTCGCCCGTGGCCCGCCAGGGTGCCCAGTCCTCTGCGCAGGGTGCGCTGAGTCGGCCCGCTCCAGAGCTTCAGTGTCGCGGGGCTCTGGGGAGGGTGGGCGGGGTCTAGGGTTAGGGCGAGGGAGCACTCTGCTTTCACGGAGCGGTGGGGCCCGAGGACGGGAGCCGGCGGAGAGACAGAGCCCTCCTCAAACCCTTCCTCGGTGTCACCACCTGCCTCCGCCGTCCGTCAACACTTCCCGCCGGGGGACGCACTGGGACTCGGCTCCGCGGCCCACCGCCCCGCCCCCCCCAGCCTCGCCCTCCCCCTCCCCCTCGTCCCCCGGGCAGCCGCCCTGCTGTCCCGCCTCTAGAGGGCGCGGGAGGGAGGTGGTGCGGCCGGCTCCCTCCCGGCCCGGAGCGGAGCCCCAGGGACTCCACCCCTACCCCGCGGGCTCATTTGAATATTTCATTGGCCGCCACCGGTCTGGTCAATTTATCATGCAAATGCGCGTGCCCTCGCGCCAGAGAGGAGCCGGCGCCCGCGCGGAGAGCGGCGCCCGATTGGTGGCCGAGACACCGGCATTTGTAATATTTTTCTTTGGACATTAGAGTCATTTACCAATGCCATCGCCGCAACTCCAGGCACTGCATCACAGGCCACTTAAAGGGCTTTACTGGCAGCTTCGAAACTTCTTCACAGGTCCCTTTATTTTAAACCAAGTGTCAACCTGTTTTTGACCCCACCCCCCACCCCCACCCCCAAAAAGCGAGAGCAACTGAAACGACTCGTTCCCCTCCCATCAGGGCCGGTTTGGCGTCCTGCGTGGTCCAGGGAGGACTCGACCTCTTTGGGGTGAGCGCTTGGCTCCCCGTGAAATGAAGAACCTTTGTGAGCTCGTGTGGGGATTGGAGAGGGGGTGAGAGAAAACACGAGGAACCGGAAAGTGAGGAGGAGGAGGAAGGAAGGAAGGAAGAAGTGGTAGAAAGAGGAGAGGGAGAGAGGAGGAAGAATTCGGAGCTGTTCTGTGCAGGAGGGAAACCTCGGCGACCGGAACCGGGAGATCAGAGACTGTCTGTCTGCATGCAAAGGACGCGACCCTCTGACCGCCGCCTCCCCCAGCACCTGGCTCGCCTGGCCTGGAAGTACTGGGGTGGGCACCCAGTTTCCAGGCATCAGAGAGAAGGGACGAGGTCCTCGCCCAGAGTCCTTCTCTGTCGTCCCTGCCCAGCTGGGAACGGTGCATGGTCTCCCCGTTTGGAATTTCGGGGACAAACCCAAAACCGTGATGTGTCAGGTGGAAAAGGAGAGTGGTGTAGGGGAAAGAGGAACGACAAGCGGTTCTCCCCGCTTCTCCCTTGTCTCGCACACTCCCCGGCGCGTCCCCGAGGTCACCGGCCAGCAGAGCTGGGCTGCCTGCTCTGCAAGGACCTCACGCTTCCCCAGGTCCCTGTGTCCGAGCAGCCGGCCCCTCGTCCGGCTGCCCGCGCACCCCTTCACACGCAAGCCAGCGCCACCAGCCTGGCCCCAGCCCGGGACGGACGCCCCTGCTGCCTTTCGGTGTTGCTCGCTGCCGCCAGGCAGAGCCCCACCCTCCGCCGCCGTCTCGGTTCAGCTTCTGGTTTGGGGCTTTGTGTTATAGTTCTGCCCAAATGGTTTCCAAAAACCCATTTCACTCAGCGTGGGAGAAACACACACCTTGCTGCAGCAAGTAATTCCAGAAACTCAGCCCGCAACTCAGGTTGACGCGAGGGGTTTGACAGAAGCGTGTTTGCCAGGAACTGCGCACTCCCAAACACACTCACTGTGCATCTGTGCGCCGTCGGTGGCAACACCGAGACTTCTGTTTTCTCTGTCTAACCTTCGGTCTCCTTAAACATTGTTTTGGAAGTTTGGTAAATGACTGAGCTTGGGAGACAATGACTGAAGGAAGAGTGGAGACTACACCAGGCTCCCAAACCTGCAAACGCAGGAATGAGAGAACCGGAAACCGGGGGCTGGGGGGGAACCCCAGCGGGGAAGACCGGTCCAGGAGAGGGGCGCGGGGGAGAAGAGGACCCCGAGAGCACCCGTGGCTCCCCCTCCCTGCCAGGTGTATAGTTTTTAAGATGTGTATAACCTCTTAGAAAGCCCGAGCCTGAAAAAAAGAAATGTGGGGGAGGAGGACCTACGGTCCCGGCTTCCTAGGGGGGTTGACAGAGTCAGCTTCCAGTTCAGGGCCAGCCAGGCCGCCCCGCCCCCCACCTCCCCCCCAGGCATCAGGGCTGGCCAGGAGGATCCCTTTCTCAGAGTCAAGTGGTTGTAGAGGGAAGGGCCAACGCACAGGGAGCTTGTGGGCAGAGGTGGGCCAACCTCTGTGCCCCAGACAACAAAACCTTTACACAGGAGGAAGCTGCCCCCTGGAAGGCAGGGGGAGGGGGGGGTGCGTGTGCCCGCGCGTTGGGGAAGCGGGAAGGTGCTGCCGTCCCTGCACCAGTTCTCGGCCCAGGGCCCAGGGCCCCCTGCTGTCCTGGAAGGTTGCCTCCGGTCCCCAGCGCACGACCTGGCACTCCCGGGGTGCAGCCCCCAGGGGACCCTACAGAAGTGACACTAACATGCGACTGATTTTTCAAAGGTTTATTTTATGTGAAGCTGTAAAAGTTCTTGGGAGAACTTACAGACAAGGTAGCTGGTTTGTTAAAACAAAACTACCAGAAAAAGAGAAACAAACCTCCCTACTGCGTGAATGCACTTTTAAGTTCACCTCTGGCAGAGGCTCAGCGAGGGCTCAAGCCCTGAGTGCCTGGGCCGAGGCGGGCTCCCCCTCCCCAGCCCAGACTGTGCGCGGGGCCGGGAGAGTGCAGTGGGCGGACCGACGGCCAGCACGCGGTCCCGCCCGCAGACACTGGGCTCCCCAAAGGCTCCCAGGCAGGCCAGTGCCCTCCTACCCTCCTACCTTGAAGTGGGGTGCAGGCTCCCCAAGAGTACTACCCAGTGTGACCTGTCCTTCAAGGTGGCCTGTGCCACCCTCAGGGCATAGCGGACGCCCCTGAAAGGTGTGGGCGGAGGCCCCAGGGCCCGGGGGCCCTGGCTGCCTCTCTGAGACCCGCGGCCTTGAACCTGGCGCATGCCTTCTCCCCTGAAGTCTCCCCTCACCAGCCAGTCCGGCCCGGTTCGGGTCAGGCGACCGTCACCGACAGCCCTCAGTCCTGCCTCACACCCAACCTGGGCCGCCTCCCGGCGGTGGCAGGGCTGCTCCTCCCGGCACCGCGTGGGGTGGGTCTCCGGCAGACCCCTCCGGGCATTGGGTGTGAGTGCCCAGCCACGCCTGCCTCTGACTCTCCCCATTCTGCTCTCCTCCTCCGGGCGGGGCTCCGGTGGGCCGCGGGCAGGGCTCTCCCGGGGCTCCTGGTCCTGGGGCTCCGCACCCGGCACCTTGGGCTCACGGTGCTGGGGTCCAGTCTGGAGCCCCGGGTCTGAGGCAGCAGCACAGGGACCGCGTGGCGCCCGGCGCCCCACTGCGGAGGAGCAGAGGGCTTCCACTGGGCCCAGGGTGCACTCTCGGGGCTCCGGAGTTGCCTCCTCGGCCTCTGGGAGTTCTCTGGGCTCTGCACACCACCAGCCAGATGAGGGGTGGAGCACCTGGCCGCAGGGCAGGCAGCTACAGACAGCGGCCACCCTGCGGTCAGTTGTGTCGGTCCACTGCCCCCTCAGCTCACCTTCCCAGCTTTTTTCCTGGGGTTTAAAAATTACTCCCAGAAACAGGGCACCTCCCAGAGGTGGGAACATCTGACTGGCCTTGGGGGGCTCCTTTGTGCGTGCCTGGCACACTAAGAAGTTAGCAAGTGCTTGGGCGCGGGGCTCGGCAGCCGCGGAGCTGTTCGCAGGTGCCCGTGATGCCTCGCGGTGGGGCAGGAGCGTCTCTGTGCCGGCATCTCCTGCAGAGTTGCCGCGCCTCCCCGGGCGCGGGCTGCTCCGTCCTCCGGTCTAGCCTGAGAGCGGTGAGGCCCTGGGGTGGGGCGTGCTCAGCCGGCACCGGCACCGGAGCGGCCGGTCTCTGCTTCCCTGGGGGGAGGAGCCCAGCAGGCGCTGCCTTTGGTCTCTGGAACCTCCGAGACCTCCGCGCTGGAACCTCTGAGACCCCTTCCTGTACTCCTCATAACTCTGGAATCGTGGGACCAGCAGACACACAGGTGTCCACCTGCTGGTGTGGCCGCTCCGAGGGGCAGAGCTCACCAAGCCCCCAGAGCACAGTGTCTGCGGTAGGAACAGAGTCGGGTAGGACACCAGGTACGGCCACCCAGCAGACCTGTGAGGTTCCGCCTGCGCCTGACCTCCCAAGTTCTTAGGAAAGGGACAGAAATGCCCTTGGCCTGGGGTGGCTGGTCAGGGGCAGGGGTGAAGAAGATACTTGCACCGGGGATGGCGCCGGGGAGGCAGGGGGCGGGGCAGGGGAGGCCGGAAGCAAGGGCAGGGGTGCCCGCGGCAGCCCAGGTGAGCACTGCAGAGAGGGGCCCTGGGGCCTTCCCCTCGGGGCCTGCCCCGTTCCTCTGAATGACGCGAGCCGCGGGTGCACAGCCCCCGGAAACGGAGCCCCCCACCCCCACCCCCCACTTGAGGCCTCGTTACTCAGCAGCCAGGCAGAGCCTGGCAAAGCTTTAGCTTGAGACCTGGCTGAGACCCGCCTGGCGACTCCCACAGCCCCAGGCTCGGCCCGGCTCTGGGGGTTTAAGCCCCCGCCTTCAGGTAGCCCCCCCGGGGTCTCTGCTGCGCTCTTGGGTCCGGGGAGCCTGCGTCCTTCCCGCTCTCCGGAGCCACACCCGGCCCGCCGAGGAGGACGCAGGCCTCGGCGGGCGGCGAGGAGGGCCGCGAGGACGCCGCTCCCTCTCCCGCCCCATCCCGAGAGCGGCGTGCAGAACTCGTCGTGCGTGGAGGTCCCGATGTGAAAGGGGGTGCTGTGGTGAGGGGGCGCCGCGGAGAAGGGGGTTCGGTCCGCTCCGAGCAGGCGGACCAGGCGGCAGGGCCTCAGCGTGCCCCCGCAGAGCCCGCGGTGCGGGCCGGGCTGTCGCAGCGACGTGCAGCTCCCCGACGCTGACGGATGCGCCGGGGCCGGACGGACAGATGTTAGGGCGGGTCGCTAGCGCCGGAGCTGGGTGGGCGAGGCCCGGATCCAGCGAGGGCCGCGGGCGGCACCGAGACCTGCGCTCGGCCGCGGCCGGCAGGGGGAGGGGGCGGAAGGAACCAGGGTTTGGCTCCGGGAAGACGAGGAGGAGGTGGAAACACGAATTCCGGGGAACTCTCTGCCTTCCCCGCGTGGCGCCCGACGCATCGCACCCGCCACCGCCGGCGCGCCGGGAAGGTGAGCCGGGGTGGGGAGCGGACCCTGCGCGGAGCCCGCGCTCCGCCAGGCAGAGGCCCTGGCGGCGAGAGCAGACCCGGGAGGCCGCGGGCGGCGGATGCCAACTCACCGTTCCATCGTTCGCAAGAAGCGTTTCACGCCCCACGGCCGCGTCCCCGGGCCTGGTGGGTCAGTGGCTCCGGCCTCCTCAGGCGCCCCCCGCTCGCCGCGCCTGCCTGGAGCCCGCCCCGCGCGGCCAGCTCCGGGCCGCCGCCCTCGGACCGCCCGCCACCGGCCTGGGCGCCCGCCCCGAGGCGCCGAGCGCTCCTGCCCGCCGAGGCGCGGAGGCGGCTCCAGAGCCGGGGGACGGCGGCGGCCCCGCTGCGCGCGGGCCGGGGCGAGCGGGGTCGGTCTTACCGCCAGGTGAGCCCGCGGGCTCCGGTCTCCAAGGACGGACGGCACGCCGGCGAACTTTGGAAACAAACTTGCGGAAACAGTCACAAAGGGAAAATGAGGGGGAGAGGGGACAAAAAGGGGGGGTCACTGGAAAAGAAACGTGAGAGATAGAAGGAGGAAGGAGAAAGGGAGGGAGGACGGGCGAGGCCAGGCTCGCGGCCCCGGGGCGCTCGGGCGGCCGGTCCCAGGGCGCGGGCTCCGGCCTTCCCCGCCCACCGGACGCGGCCCCGAGGAGCCCCGCGGCCCAGCCCACGCGCCCGGGGGCGGCGGCGGCTCTCGGACCGGAGCCCGGCGGCCGCGCCCGCGCCCCCACCGCCGACCGGCAGCGCCCGGAGCCGGCCCCGCGCGGCCGCCCCATTCCCGGCCCGCGAGCTGCCCAGGGAGACGCAATCGAGCCCGCAGCGCATCGATGCGCCGCTCCGGCTCCGGCTCCCACTCCGCCGCCGCCGCCGCCCGGGCGTCGTCCCCGGGAGCCGGGGCTCCCCCGCACCCCCGCGGCCGCCCGTGAGTGAGCCCGCGCCGCGGCTCTGCCGGCGCTTCTGTGCGGGGCCCGCCGACCCGGCCCGCTTGGCGCCCGGGCGACCCCGATCGCCCAATCAATAATCAATTTCTTTCACTCAGCACCGCGGGCAGGCCGGACGCTGGGTGCGGCGGCCCCCCACTCCGGGGCGCCCCGGGGCGGGTGGTGGGCTGGGGAGCCCCAGCACCTTTCCCCGCCCCCGTGCCGTCCTCAGGTCTGCGGGCGCCCGGGGCGGGGGGCGCGGTAGGGGACCGGGATCTTCCCGGTCTGCAGAGGAAACTTGCAGGCACCCCTCCCACTGCGACCCCCGGGACGGGCCCGGGAAAGTTTGCCCGGGAAAAAAAATGGGGGGAAGTGGCGGCGGCGGGTCCCGGGGGAGGAGCCGGGTGGCGCGGGGCCTGAGAGCCGCCCCCACCCACTCCAGCCTGCGGCCGCCTCCTCTCTCAAGGGCGCCCGCCCGGGCCCTCGGCCTTGGCATCCCCAGGGGCGCGGGACCAGCCCGAGACGGAGCGGGGGGCTTTGGGCGCGGCGGCTGGAGAGCCGCGCGGCCCGGGCAGAGCTGCAGGGGCGGCCAGGGGGCGAGACCCGGTCGGGAGGGGGCGGGCGGGGAGCTAGCGCCCTGGGACGGAGTCGGCCGGGCGGGCGCCGCGCCCCTGCTTGCGCGCACGGGGCGGAGGCAGAGGGGCGGCACCCCCTTCCCGGACTGGGAGGGGGTCCTGGAGAGGCCCCGGGCTGGGTGCGGGGGCGCGGCGTCCCCGCGGGCGGCTAGTGACACGATCATCTCCTTTTCCTTTAAGCTTGCCTGTTGCCGACGCCGCCGCTCCAGTCGCGCCGCGGGCAGAAGACCGGACCGCTGAGCCCCAGGCCGTGGCGGCGGCGGCGCGCCCCCCATGCCTTGACCCCCTGCCCGGGGGCGGGGGCCGGGCACGACCCGCCGGGGCGGGTCCCGCGCGCCTCCTCCCACCCGGGGGCCCGCCTCCCCCTCTCCCCGCCCCCCGGTCCCGAACCCCGCGCACCTCGTCTGGGGACCGGGCTGGGGGGGGGCAGGGCCGCCGCTCCTCCCCGCCCCCTCCTCCTCCGGCCTCTGGAGCGATTTGTCAAACTTCCCATTCCGCCAGCGGAGCGGCCCCCCCCCCCCCCCCCCCAGCGCGCTCCTCCCTCCCGCGCCTCCCGCGCCACCCGCCTCCTTCCCTCCGCACGTTCGGGATCGCGGCGGAGCGCGGAGAGGGGGGGACTCGGAGAGCCGGGGCGCAGCAGCATCCTGCGGGCGGCCGCTCTCCGGGGGGGAGGCTGAGAGCCGCCCGCCTCGCCCCCCCGCGGCCCGCCGCCCCTCCCTCCCGCTTCTCAGCCCGGCAGCGGCGGCGCGGCGGCGGCGGCGGCAGTCGCCGGAGGAGCATCATGCCGAGGAGGAAGCAGCAGGCGCCCCGGCGCGCAGCAGGTACGAGCCGCTTCCCTTCCTCCTCTCCTCCTCCTCTTCCTCCGCTCGCCCGGTCTCCAGCCGGCGGCGACCCCTCTCGCGCGGGCTCCTGGCTCCTCTGCCGGCGCAGAGTAACTCTGGGCACGGGCTCGTCGCTGCTCCCCCTCCGGGTGCGTGCGCCCGCCTCTCGGACCCGGCGCCCCGGACACCCGCCGCGATCCGCCCTCGTCTCGCTCGCACCCACTTCGGGCACGGCGGGATCCGGGCCGGTGCCTGACTCCTCAGCTCTGCGGCCGCGGGGGGAACGGGAAGGAGCCGTCCTCTGCGTCTCGCCGTGGGGGGCAGGCGGGGTCACCCGAGTTCCCCGGGACACCTCCTGTGCCCAGGCTCGGCCGGACTGCGGGGGACCGCGTGGTGTCCGCCCGGCCGAACTGTGAGCCGGGGAGAGAGGAGCCCCGTTCGGCCGCCGCGCTGCTAACGTGGTCGAGCCTGCGATTATTGGGCCTAAAGCGGGCACCGCGGAGAAGCCAGAGCGCACAGGGTCTGGGTATTGTCAGATGACTGTCAAGTCGGCGCTGGACGCCGGGCTCCCCTCTCCCTGCTGGCTCTCCCTCACCCCACCCTCCCGGCCCGCTGCTCCCACCCTCGCCGCGCCGAGCACTTAGTTCTGGGACGTGTCTGAATACTTTTTTTTTTTTATGGCCAGGAGTGTCAACTCCTGTTAAGGCTAAGCCTTTTTTTTTTTCTTTTCTGGAAAAAGCATCATTGAAAACTAAACCAAACCCACACACACACAACATTATTTTGCAGTAATGTCAGTCGGGGGCATGTTGACTGGAAGAAGGGGTGCTGGCCCCTTGCCACCCTTGATTTGATGACTGATTGATCGCCTGTCATGCTGCTGCCTTTGATCTATTCATTCCCAATAAACATCAATAAATCACCGGCGAGGGTGAGGGCGAGCTCTGTGACGTCACCAGGGCCCTGTCAGTGCCACCTCGGGGTCCGGGGCCAGCTGTGGAGGGGACCGCCGGCACAGGGACGGGTGTGTCCTGACGTGAGCCGCACTCAGATGTGCTGAGGTTCGGAGGCCGTGGGCTAGGGCCTGGCGGAGGGTTGTTCCTTTCGCTTTCTCTTCTTTTCTGTTCTTCTCCTTCGTGGAGGGCGGGCAGGCAGGAGGGTCGGGGCATCGGCCGGTGCCCTTCCGGGATGCGGGTGTCGCACATGCGGCCGGGGGGCGGGCGGCGTTCACGGTCATGTCCACGTGCGGCCGTGGGGCCCACGCCGGCCGCACTCTGACCTCCTCCCCGAGGGGAACAGGGAGGGGGTGCTCCTCTTTCTTCTCCCGGAAATGTGTTTTCCTGTGAGCGTCCCAGGAAAACGCTAGAATGAAACAGATTTGGGCTGGGACGTGGGTGCAGGCCCTGCTGTCTGCGCGCAGTGTGCCCACCCTTAGGGGGCTGGACCCCAGCAGCAGCTGGCGGGGTCCTGCCGCTCCGGTCACCTCCTGGCTGCTGCTTCTTGACCGTGCCACCTCGACTCCGAATTCTAAGCTCAAGAAAGAGCTTATCTACCCCAGATGAACTCCGAAAGTTTGGAGGATTCCTTTCCAGAGCAGGGCGGCAGGGGCCTCTGGGGCTCCTCCCAGGCCCGGGTCTCCTCCTCTCTCTGTGGACGCACGTTTCACGGGGTCCGTGTGCTCAGTCAGACGAGCCGCATGCGGTCACAACTCGCGTTGGCTTTAGAATCCTCGCCACGGGTGCTCCCTCTCCTCTCTCCCGCCTTGCCAATTTGACATTCTTATTTGATAACTTCCTGATAAAAATATTAGATAAGGAAGAAATGTACATTTTTTAAAGCAACCTGTTCACTAATCTTTCTGCACCTTTTAAAAAGCCAGCCAGGAAATCTCAGGTTAGTTAGGAAATATTCATCATGTAAAAACTTGACTGCGGGACTAATAGGAGATGGGAGAATGGCTTTGCTCTATCAAAATGACCCGTCAGAACGACTTTGTTTCATATTTGATTTAATTGTCTCCCTCCTGACAGGCACATTCATCAATAGCTTAATGGTCAATCAGAAGTTGGCAGTGTACGCGCTTTCTTTCTCTCCCATCCCCTGGTTTTGGGTCTGCGTTATCAGAGTGCCTCTGCTAATGGACGCGGGGAGAAGGGGGGGCCGAGGGGTCACCGACTGGAGACGAGAGGAGGGAAACCCTCCACTTTTAGGCCGGCGATGAGTGTGCGCAGGCCAGTACGTGAGCTGTGCGAGTTCTTTGGGGTTTGTTTGCGTGTGGACTTAAGTGGACAAGAAAGTTCCCATTGTTTCCCCTCTTTCTGCAGCCGCAAGGTGTGAGGCCCCTGCTGCTCCTACGGCGTCCTGGGGGCGCGGACAGGCTGGGTGCTTTGTGCTGGTCGCCGGGGGCGCGGGGATTGGGGAGGTGTCTGCTGATTGGCGACTGGAGATCCAGTCCCCAGCAACCTTGAGAATCCTCGAGAATGTTCCCCCTCCAAACTGAAAGGTCCGCTCAGCCATAAAAAAAGAAAAGTTGTTTTGCCAGCTTCATTAGTGTTCCCCTAATTAGCTGTAAACCTGATGGATCCCTGACAGCTGTAATGATTGGAGATGACAAGCTCGACGCAGTGTCATCCAGCAGAATTAGGTTTGCAGCTAGTTTGATGTAATCAAGTTGATATTACACAGTCCTGGCTGCCTTTAGTTGTGCATTAACTCAATTTTCTGCTGCAGGTGACAAATGGGCTTTGGTACCTGGATAATCATGTCATAGGAATTAGGGCCCTCGCGATGGTCTGGGGCAGAATAACAACCACAAAGGCCCGAGCGAGCGCGGGCAGAGCGCGGCCGGGGCGCCCCGGTGCGGGCCATCTATCCGGGCGAGGGCAGCCCCTCTGTGCCAGGCCCAGGCGGGCCCCGGGAGGCCCCAGAGGACAGGTGTCCACCCTTCCTGTCCTCTCTCCCCGGGAGAGACCACGCACGGCTCCGCGTCTGTTCTCAAGGGGAGAGGGACTGCTTCACCAGCCGAGCAGGGTCTGGCAGGAGGGCCCTTCCTCCCTCCAGGCGTGTGGCTCCCCAGGGCCACGCTTCCGGCTGGACAGGGAGAGGCGGCTGCCGGCGGGAGCTCGGAGGAGCGAGGCAGGGAGGCTGGTGTCCCTTGCTCGAGCAGGATTCTCTCCCGTGTCCAGTGTTTGTTTTCAAACGGGCATTTAAAAAAATGCCAGAAAAAAATATTAGAGCAATACTTAATAGCAGATAACATTCTACCCATTCACATTCATTTTCTGGGAGGGAATGTAAAATCCTAAAAGGCCATTGCCTAAACTTTCAAAAAATCCTCAATTTGCTACATAATTTGCTACTGGGCTTCGGAGCCTTATTTGTTGGAAGGAAAAAGCCTTCCGTGGGGCCCTTTGGTGGCCACGTGCCCAGGGTGTGAGCCTCCGAGCACCTTGACTTCTGTGAAGGCGCCCAGACCCCTTAGAACCTGCCGGTGTGACAGAGACATGGCCGTGTGTCTCCAGGGCACAGGATGGCTGCGGTGGCACTGCCCGGGGGGTCACGGTGCTGGCAGACACGGCGTGTGGGTGGCCCAGCACCACGTCCTGGCCTTCCTGAGCCCCGTCCTCGCGCCGGGCAGCTCCGGAGAAGGGCTCTCCTCTTCCCTGGAGCTCAGGGTGCCGGCGGGAGGGCACTGCGGCTCCAGCCCCGGGGGCACGTGCCCTCTGAAACCTGCTCACGGCTCTCCGCCGGACAGGTGCTGCACCCGGCAGCCAGACGCCAGGACAGCTGCCCCAGGTGCCTGCGCTGTGGTTCCCCCTTCCTGCAGAGCGAGAGCACCGGTGCCGGCTTTACGGAGGGAGTCAGGGAGAGGGAGGGGAAAACAAAGAGGGCAGGAGGCAGGGGTATTCCCTGGACGTGCACGCGGGGAGAGAGTCTTCCAGAACCGGCTGCTGTGCCCCCGTCATGCTGACAACTGTCAGTGAGGGCTCCAGTGCTCTCCAGGGCCACACTTGATGGCGAGCGGTTGATGTTGTCATTTTGTTCTCGGTTTTGCCTTGAGCGCGCTCGTAAACGGCAGCGAGACAGTCAATAACTGATGGATCAGCAGTTGCTCCCGAAACCGCCTCACTGGTCTGCATTCTCCCTCTTTTTACTAAAGATGGCTTTGCAAAGTGATGAGAATGAGAGGCGACTGCTCAGGGCCGGGAAACGCAGGTGAGACCCCCGAGCCAAACCCTTCCTTCCAGCCCTCCACTTTGGGCTCCGGGAGGAGGAGGGCCAGCCCCTCGCCGCCTGCCTCCCCTTCCCCGTGCGTCTGTGCCGGCGGGGGAAGCCAGGGCTGCGGCTCGGGAGGCGGCAGGGGAGCGCTGGCGTCCCCGGCCCTGGCGTGCACAGCCACGGCCGATTCCGGACCATGAGCAGGTCCCTGCCCGTCCCCGGGCAGGCCGGGCAGCTCTCCTGCCAGCCCGCCCTGATCGCTGCCTGTGCCTGGACACACTGTAAAAATAGCCGTGGTGCTGCGTTCAGAGAGAAAGTAGGGTGTGCGTCTCCCCATCTGCGCTCGTGCCGGGAGACGGCCCAGCTTCCCTCGAGCTGCTGTGTGGCTCCTGGGAGCACCCACCCGCAGCCGTGCAGCCGCGCAGCACAGGGCCGCGGCGCCACTGCCCGGGCCTCGCAGGTGTCTGTGTGCATGTGTGTGCGTGTGTGCGTGCGTGTGTGTGTGCGTGTGTGTGTTACTTAGCCTCCAAATTGTGGTTTCTCTGTCTGAAGTTAAAAACGCAAGGTGGATACAGTATATTGTATTTGGCAACAATGATGTGGACCAGCACACCCAGACAGATAATGTGCAGTTGTAATTAGACTCAATAGACAGGCAGTCATTTTTAAATTCTTTGACACATGCATAAAATAGTCATATAATAAGATAAGATGACAATTTTATGTTAGGTTGATAAAGTGTCCCGATACATGCATTTAAATGTCTGTAAGCCTTTAAAAAA